TGGTTTAATGGTTTAGTGGTTTAGTGGCATAGGACAAAATTTAATGGTCTAATGGTTTGGGTCATTGGGGATACAACGAAAACCGTTGGGGACCCCATATAGGGGGGTACCCAAATGTTTATGTCGCAACATCCCTGCTCTAAGCCCACCCCATCCCAGCCTCCAACGCCCTAATCCCTAAAGATGCCACGCAAGTAGCCTGATAGGCCCCATAGTAGTTCCTTTTTTGGGATTACCTTATGGGATTCTAAATATGAACCCCAAAAAGGAACTACTATGGGGCCTCTGGGTAGACGGTCAAAAGCCAACAAGAAAGCCCAGGCCAGTTTCAACTTCAATCTCGCTGGCATCTCTCGACCGTGTGCCGGCCGCAAAAGCTAAAGACCTGAGAGAATTCGTTGGCGGCTTCGGTTGACAGACGCGTCGAACTCTTAGTTGACATGTTCACTCATGGTCCCTATATAATCATGGCATCACATTCCCCAAAAGCCATTCTTACTATGAGTGCCGCTTGTAACTAGGGTTTTGGGTTAAGTATTAGACTTAGAGTTCGGTGGTTTGCCCGTTCAGCTTCGGGTTTCCAGTGTAGGGTTTGGGTCTTGGTTCCTGCACTCCTAGAACCCTAAAGCCCGAAATCTAATTTCCGAAAGCATTGATTAGATTAGACCACTAATATACGGGCCTAAACAATAACCAATACTATTTTGTACCCTATTCTAATCTATTAAGGCCCCTACACTACTGTGTCTCGGAAACCTTCTACGCCGAAGCATGTTCCTGAAGCCCTGCAGCCCTAGGCCCCTATGTCCTGGACCCCTACCAGCGCAAGTCGCTCTCAAGGTCCCAATTTGAAACCTATACTGCTGGTTTAGGGGTTTAGGGTTTAGGGTTTAGGGTTTAGGGTTTAGGGTAACCCTGAACCGTAAACCGTAAACCCTAAATGCTGTAGAAGCCCAATATAGTAGATCATGGGATCCCTTTAAGCTGCGTTGAACAACCCATGCTCGCAACCCCTCATATAAGCTTTGTGCTAACCCTAACCCATAAACACTGAACCCTAAAACCTCAAAACCCTAAGTACCAAAAAACCCTAAACCCCGAAAGCTCTAAAGCCTAAGCTTGGAAGTCTTAAGCTATGACTTCAAGACCTCCATCCTCCCAAAGTCTATCGCCGGCTCCTTGCAGGCTACAGCCCCCAAACCCCAAACCCTAAACCCCAAAGCCCTAAGCATTAAGCCGTCAACCCTAGACACTAAAACCCCTGAACCCTAAACCGTAAACCCTATAAACCCTAAAACCCGAAAGCGCCTTGCAGCCTCAGCTTGGAAATCGTAAGCTGCAGAAAGAAGCCGAGGTTCGTGGTCGATGTGGTGCCAAACAACGGCGTCCTCAAACCCGAGGAGCGCCTTAAGGCGGGAATTCGGCAGAACTCGGCGGTTTTGGGGGTTTTAGGGTTGTGAGTTTAGGGTTATGGCTAGAAGAATCATGGATTTTAGGTGGTTTTTCGTACAAGTATCTACGGTGTTTGTGATAAGCTCTAGCTCTCTAAGCTATCTGGGCTGCCTGGTCGATCTGTCTGTCCCTCCATGTGTCTATCTACTCTTTCTATCTCTTTTCTGTTTGTCTATCTGTCTGTCTGGCCGTCTGTCTCTCTGTCTATCTACCTGTCTATCTACCTGTCTGCGTACATGGCTGTCTACCTAGCCATCCATCTGTCCATATGTATATCATACCTATCTGCCTATCTACCTATGCAAGTAGCAGGGTCTTGAAGCCACAGGAGATGGTCCTTGGTGCCTAAGCTTGAATTCCAAACCTACTAAACCGCTATCGAATGCTTACAAAATATAACCAACCTGAAAAGCCCTGCAAATCTCGTAGTCAATCCTTGCACGTCTGTATGACCTTGTGACAACGTTGAACTGACTTCTATACGCTATACCTTCCTTCGACTTGGCTTTTCTGGCTACATACTCAAAAAAACCAAGCGAGGCTCATAAGCCACATTTTCACAAACCCCCGTGCAACAGTGTATGTTTAAGCTTTAGCTGAGGTTTAGGGTATCAAGTTTTCACAGACACAGGTTAGTGTTCCAGGGCTCAGAACCGTCCCTTAACTGCAGCCTCGGGAGTTGGCATCGGAGCCTATTCTCGGACCGGACTACGCACACCGAGAACTCAGTCTTATACAGGCATCACACAGTCCGGGTGATTGAATATGCTTCGGCTTTGCATCACAGCATCAGACACCATCTTCACGGGCAGTTTGCCTTGAAAACCCCTGTCTCCTTTGGGTCTTCGATGATCAGAGGTTTACGGACGCCGCCCTCGCCAATTTTGCGTACCGCACCGAATGCTCGTGAATGAGTGGGTAGGGTACCAGTAAGCTTTCTAGGTAAGTCTGTCACCAGATAGACTTGGTATGACTTGATGGTTACGTACTTGAAACCTAAACCCTGAACCCTATAAACCCTAAACATCCCTAAACCCAAAACCCGCAACCCGGCTTTTGTCTTCTTTATAGCATCCTAACCCTATAAACCCTAAACATCCCTAAACCCTAGACCCTATAACTTTACCAGTTTCGTTTAGCATCCCCGGTG